AGCTTTAAAATCAAGAATAGACTCAACAAGTAGGGACAAGCAGATTCAACAGTTATAATCATGCATATAAAGATACTAGCATATATCCTAAGGTCACGAGATTATATTCACATCATTCATATCATTATTCTATCATTATCTCAATCACATAAGCACACTTTGGTGGTGTCGCAGGGCCCTTCAAGCGTCCATGCACGAAGCGCCAGCGCATATAGCTCTGGCATGGCCCCGAAGCACCCTGCCTATACCGCAGCACAAGGGGTCGATCGCAACCAACCGATGAACCGCAACTCATCATAATGTTTGATCGCAACCAAACAGTGGACTGCAGCCCATAAAGTGTATTTCTGATCGCAACCAGATTATGAACCGCAGCTCATGTAAAACGTTTGATCGCAACCAAACGGTGGACCGCAGCCCTATATAATATTTATATACCTGACCGATCGCAACCGGCCTGGTTAACAGTTGGTATGGTTCTCAACCCATCCAACTGCCCGTATAGCCAATTTGATTCGCAACCAAATTGGGGTATCATGCACACATAACACATAGCAAGCACATGCAACCCACATTAACACATTGGAAAATGGGAGAAAACGTATAAAGAAACATATGCGTGGTCATCCACATACTAGGAATATTCCTAAGGGGTTCATACATCTTTCACCTAGGCCAACGGGATACCAATTCAACTAGCATGCAATACACAAGATTCTTTTATCCTACGAATGGTACCCAAAATATCAAACTAGACTCAGGCACGATAAACGGAGTCCATTGGGACACCACGAGGGTCGGGGAAACATCAAACGGGAAACCACCATTCCCAAGTTGGGAATTTCCAGCGAGTGGCCGGCTGCCCGCCGGCGGCGTGACGCTGGGCAGCGGGTGTACGGTGGGTAGTCGCCTGCCCGCCGGCTGCCCGCTGCCGGCGACGCCCTTTAGGGGCAGCGGGTTCCCCTACCCCCCACTGACTATTTTTCAATACTTGGGTCCCGGGATCTCTTGTGGAACCCGAAACCATGTTTAGACACTTTTAAACGCAAACGACGACACCACGTAGTCAAATAACGGATCAAAACTAAGAATCACATTGAACATATCCTAACATGACTTCTAAACATAATCAACACCCGAACATGCGAAATTCCACCCAAATATATCAAGAACATCAAAATACAAAATTCCCAATTTAACCTAGGGCTCTAATCATATTCAAATTATCAAGATCATAGTTTATCTTTAAACAAAAATTTATCAAGAACATCACACAATTTATCAAGATCCTCTTATAATCATCAAGATTATCAAGATCAACACATACGATCATCTCATCAATCATCAAGATCATATCATCATCATAAAAGATTTTATCAAGACTCAGGCAATAGTGAAGAAGCCAAAGAAGAAGATTATAGCAAAGAAAATAGGTTTTGTTGAGACATGGGTTACCTCTTAGCCTTAATTAGAATCCTTGGCTATAAAGGGTCTTTCTCTAAGATCTCTTCTTCTTGATTTCTCCTATGGGAATTCATTGTGTGGTGAAAGCTATTGTGGTGGGAGCTCTAGGTGCCTTCTATGTCCTTGTATATATCTAAAAGTCCTAATTAGGGTCTGAATGATATGGATTTACTAATTTTATTTCTTATAGGACTAAGGCTTTGGTTTAGGGATAAGGATCCATGGCTTATGGTGGACCCTTCTTAATTAATTAAAGGAATTAAATCCCCTTTCATGAGTAAGTAATTAAGTAATTAGTTTGGTTTAGGGGCCATAACACGGGGTGTTACATTGACATTCAAAATGACGCAAGTTTTATTTTTGCAAACCGGTGAGCACACCTATGGTTCCGGGGTCCAACTTGGTACAAGAAAATGGCACGTCACTAAGTTATCCAAGTAGCTGTCGCAGATTGATTGGGAGGTTGTTATACCTCACAACAACAAGGTTCGAATCACTTGTGCCGTTCATCGGCTTAGTCAGTTTGTTGGCTCCCCTACTGAAATACACATGACTGCCGCACACCGTATACTTCGTTACATAAAGGGATTAATCGGCCAGGGCATATTTTATCCAACCACGACCACACTTCTCCTCAAAGCTTTCTCGAATTCAGATTGTGCCTCACGCGCGGACACTCGAAAATCTGTCACAGGCTATTGTATATTTCTTAGCTGTTCCCTCATCTCTCGGAGGTCAAAGAAACAAGCAATAGTGGCAAAATCTTCGTCCGAAGCAGAATACCGGTCACTTGCAACCACTATTTGTGAACTACAGTGGCTCATCTCACTACTTCAAAATTTGCATGTTGCCGTAAGCGATCCTGCCACAATCTTCTGTGATAATAAGTCCGCTATTGCAATCGCTGAGAACAACGTTTTCCATGAAAGGACTAAGCATATTAAATAGACTGCCATGTTGTGCGAGAAACAATCACTCAAGGTTTGGTCAAGCTGTTATCTGTCTCCACCTCTAATCAAACTGCTGCGGCTTCACCAAGCCTCTTCCAACCTCTCAGTTTGAGCTATTCGTATCTAAGCTCGGTGTTCAAAACTTACACATGCCAGCTTACGGAGGTATTAGAGGAAGAAAAAAGAAAGATAAAAAGGGCATAAATGTATTTTCCTTCTTCATGTATTGTTACAACTACCACTACAATATTTAAGTGGTAGTTTCTTCTTCCAATAACAATAATTCACCTTTACCAAATTTTCCCTTCTGAAGTCAACGACCCATGAAGTTCTTCTCGTTTCATCTCCGCTAGCCACTTCACGATATCTGTGAATTTCATCTCTACAACTTCCGGCGACTTTGTGATCTGGCCGTCAGCCCCGGAATGGCTTCGTTCTCTTTAAGTTTTGAGTTTCTAGGCCAGAAGTGGCCTAGTTAATGTCATGGGCTCAGTTTTAAGGCCCATTCTTAATGGTCGTGCTGTAACTCTTTCAGCTTTATGATGCAAATTGGTGACAATGGCAAATTATTCTGTGGATCAGGATTCATTTTGCAAGGTGAATCTGAGTCTACAAATACAAAATTTATATATTAAATGTTCACAATTTACATATTGAACGTTCACAATTTTTTTAATATTCACAATTTACATACTGAATGTTCATAATGTTATATATTAAATGTTCACAATTTACATACTGAATGGGTTTACAGTTTAAATTATGAACATTCAATATGTAAATTGTGAACATTCAGTATATATTTTTGTATGTTGACCCAAATCCACATTGTAAAGTGAACCCGAGTCCATGGCATAACTGTCAGGTGACAATGACTTGGGCTATTACTTAAAAGGAAAATGATATGGAGTATGTGAATTCTTAGACATGCATGGTGTCAAAATTTATTGATGGGAAAAAAAAGTCATCAAAATTATGATTCAATTTTTTGAATAAATTAAAATATGTCACATAAATAGGGAGTAAAAAATATAGTAGAGATTAAGAATACTTGTAGTATTAGATTTGCTCAAATTTAAAACTTCTTAATGTAAGGTTATGATATCATTTGAATTTTACTGAATAATTATTTGAATTTTACTGAATAATTACAACTCCCACGTATTTGTATTTGTGTGAAGGTTGAAACATTACTTCAATATATATGAACTTTGTGTCAACATAGTACTGAGAGTTGAATTTGAAATTTTAGAGTTATCAAACTAACATTTTGATCTGTTGTCTCATGAAAGGGCCAAAAAAATATATGTACATGTAAGCCAATGAGACTTGAAACATGTGACCCTACTATATTTACTTACGACTCTACTACTTTCGAACACTAGTAGCCTTTACTGAACTTTACCAAAGTTGTACTTCATTGCCATTTGAGTCTTCAGTTTATTCTTTTCAACTTTCACCTCTATAACCAGTTAAGCTGCCCATGCGGGCAAGTCTTCACTTTATTGCATATATTGCTTATTGAACTTGCAAATATTTCACTATATTACTTCACTAGTACAGAAAGAGCCATACGCGTCTTTACTATTTGATAATACGCGTCTTTAAAAGTAAAGACGCGTATGGCGCAGACATTGAAAGTTGGCAACTTTACGCGTCTTTACTCTATACCCGTCTATAATAGCTAATTAAAGACGGGTATGGTGTTTAATAAAAATAATAAAAATCAATAATACGCGTCTTTTCCTGGCAGGTAAAGACGCAGCATACTGTATTATTTTTTAATATTTAATTTAATTCAGTAGTATGCTGTACTAATCTTTGCTCCAGCAGAAAATTTCACTACCAAACTACATTTATATGGTTCAAACCATTCAACACAATATATATAATCCAACATACATAATTGTCTAACACAATATAATCATCCAACATACATAATTGTCTAACGCAAAATAATAATCCAACATTTTTTTTTTGAAAGTTACTGGCTCTATTACATTGTAGTATCTGTTCGTATACTTTCTCAACCTACTGAAACACAAAGAACTGAGGCTCGAACACATAATCTTCCACATGAAAGTCCAACTCGGATACCATTAGACCACATAGTCCTGGTATAATAATCCAACATTAATATATCATAATATATACAATGTAATTCCATCTAGAGCACCTAATAAATATTTATATGCACTCATTTACAAAATAGTCTATCCATAACCTCCGTATCTCATCTATTTCATCCTTAGAATAAGCATTTGTGTCTTGATATGCCTACAAAATTTTGGATAATTAAAAAAAAAAAAACAATGAGTATATATACTATAAAATACCTTTCAAAAAAAAAATATACTATAAAATAATATAATAATTAAAAATATTTAAATTGGGGAACCTCATAACGTAGTATCCACATTCATCACTACTGGGTTGTTGAGGGCACTAAAAGAAAACCACGTACACATGTATATATATAGATATATGTATGTATTAGTTAATTGAACTATAACTAATTTAAGTAAAATTTTTATAGTAAATAATCATATTTTTTATACCTTCACATATTTCCAATTAGCATTATACCCATAATCCTTTGCCCTCGTTGAATTGCAGAGGTTCGAAAAGCCCTATCATTAATATATATATATATATATATATATATATATATATATATATATATATATATATATATATATATAGAAATAACTTAATTACCAATAAAATAATATTAAACTTATGAAACAGACATAATTTGAAGTACATAATATTTTAATACATTTACTTACATATTCACGGCTTGTTTGACTTCAATTTTGCACCTACAATTCAATGGATCTAATACATATACGATTCTTGAACTTGCATGAAGCACGAGTAGTAACCAATGATTCCTACAATTTATAAACTTGTAAATTATACTTTTAATTTAAAATAATTCAAATGATACTATATGAATTTATAAATATATATATATATATATATATATATATATATATATATATATATATATATATATATATATATTATATATATATATATATATATATATATATATATATATTTTCTTACCCTTGATGGTATGATGCTAAGATAAATGTCTTGTCTTTTAGCGTAACCATGGTATTCCCAATGTATGCTGTAACAGTATCCTCATTTAAGTCAACATTTCCTTTCGCAAATTGCGTTGGACACATAAACCCAATTGAGTTGACTTCAAAGTCCTTGCATAGCTGATGAGCATACTTGAAATTAAATATCCTAAAATAAGTTCTTTGAAAACACAATAAAGTTTTGAATTAATGAAACATATAAACTTACACTATAAAGACTTGAATAATAGACACATCAAGCCAATCCATCGTGAATAAGTCTTTAATATCTTCAATCATCACAAATATGTTCACTACCAAATTCAAGATATTGCAGTCATAGACACTCCCACCTCAAAGGATCTATTGCAAGGCATTAGGACAACAAACATACAATCAAGCACCCCGTAAACCCCTCCTACCTCTACACCCTCCCAGACCTGTGATTACAGCCCCAAGGGAAGTCAGAGGTTGCCAAATAATGGCTATATCCTGTCACTTCAAACAAAGGCACCTGCAAGCCAAATAAAGAGCAAAGGCCTCATGTCTACACCAAGCTATGGTGCAGATCAGCCAAAGATTAGCCTAAATTACAGACTAAAGGCCTTCCTTTTGCTTAACTTCTCAAAGTTTTCATGGCCCCAGTCTGAGCTCTGTTGTTTCTCTTGGCCCACTCCGGCTAAAGCTACCTGCAAAAAAAAAGGCTTCATCTCTGCAAAATTGCAGATCCACCTCCAGAAATCTACACAGAGGATCAGCTCCATGAGCATCATCTCCTCTGCCAGTACCAACCAAGCTGTGCACCCTCAAGATTGCCCAGCTCACAATCCATCATTGGGTCCAGCTCTCAAACTGACAGATCATATGTAAAATGGATCTCTGCTGAAACAGCATCATGCATCCATTCCCACAAAATCCCAAAAAACTTTAAAGAACCCCCCTCAACATCATAGATGTCTCCTCAGGTGGTTTAAGGGGATTAGTGAACCTTATAAGAGTCATCAGATGACCCCTCCCTTCCTTATACTCCCTCACACCACACTCAAACTTTTCAACATTCAGATCCCCAAAAGGACAATTATTACCTTCCTTTTAACCCCCTTACCCCCTCCTTTTCTTACAAAGGCCAGGGACAACACACCACCCTCAGCAAACTAACAAATTCAAATATTCAATAATTACACAACTTAAATATAATTAACTAATAATTCAAAACTTCACAAATAAATTATTAACAATAATTAATCTACGACCATAATATAATATATTTAATCCACAACCATAATATAAAATAAATAATTCTTAAATTTAATTTACAATTTAATACTATTATTTATAAATAAAAAATACTATTTTTACAAATAATAAATTATAATATTTATATAAAAAAATTTTAAAAAGATTAAATGAGCTTACCTATTCGCGTACGGAGCATCACTGTAGAATTTAATGTAGTTGAAGATCAGATCTACAGTCTACGAAGCAGAAGCAGTACGCTGGAAGCTTTATGCAGGTTCTCCACCGTTGAACTTACATCGTCACCCACCGCCGGAACTACATCGTCACTGCCGGAGTACGAAGCAAAAGCAATACGTAGGTTTTCCACCGCCGAAACTACGTCGTCATTGTCGGAGTACAAAGCAAAAGTAATACTGCTGCCGGAGTACTTCTCGTCGCAGGAGAAAGTAGATCTACTACTGTCGGAGTTGCGGCTGCTTTTCTGAAGCTGCTACGACGGAAAAGGGGATGAAGGAAAATATCAAGGAGCTAACGAAAAAGCAAAAAGATGATGGTACACGATGAAGCTAAGGAAGCAAGAAGAAGAAGGAAGTAGTGAACGAACCTGCAAAGATTGATGGCGGTGAAGCGGTGGAGCTGCGCTGCTGGTACACGGTGAAGCTAAGGAAGAAGTAAAGATGTAGTACGTGAAAAGCTAAGTGTGAAAGTGAAAAAGTAAATGATGTAGATAAAAATAAATTATGTTTTAATGCCCAATCATACAAGTCTTGGCTTGATATATCAAGTAGTGTAAAATAATCGCAATTAAAAAAATAAAAAATCAGCACATTACGCGTCTTTACTACGTAAGTAAAGACGCGTAAAGTTGTCAACATATTTACAAAATTACCATCGCGTTCTTTTTTTATTATTTTACTAGTCTTTAGTTACATAGTAAAGACTTGTATTGTTACATTTTTTTGGTCAATTCTCTACTAGTGCTTCTTGTAGATTTATATTACTGAATATCTAACTTCACTAAAGCATTTGTGCTTAGTTAATTTTATTCCTAGATCAGCTAATTTAATTGCTCATTTGTTAACTTCTCCTACTTTTGCTCAAACTAATTCCTTGTACTGAGATTCTATTCCACCTAACTCTATTTTGGCCCTTCATTAATATATCATCCATATTGTTACTTTCAAAAAAAAAAAAAAAAACTTCAATAAAGCATTTACTTTATTGAGTTATGACTTATTAGTCTATTGAGAACTCTTCTTTAGTTCTTAAGTATGTTATTTTACTGATTGTCTACTTTATTGTTCTTTATTCTTCTACTTAGCATTGAAATTTATTGACATATTTTGATGACAACTGTATTGTACTCAATGATATATTGAATTTGAATTGTATGTTCTTTTGACTTCACATTTTACTAAAATACATTAGAAATTAAAAGTTTGGTGGCTCTAAGATCATAACATATATTACATTCATCATCAAAATATATTTACTACAATTATTCCTAATAACATAACTCTAAAGGTTTTCAATATTAATCCTGGCACTCATAATCTATGGTACTTATTATTAGCTAAATATTTAATTTCAAGCTACAATTTTTTTTTTAAATAGTCGTGAACACTAAGCTAGCCTAGATTATATAGAGGGTGGCTAGTACAACCCCATATATGGAGTTATTCTCATGGGCGGATTCAGAGTAGGGGCTATGGGGCAGTTGCCCCACTGCCCGCAATCCACCCCACCACATTATATGTGTGTGTACATATATACTAGATGTTTTAATTGAAGTAGATAATATAATAGTATACAAAAACATTTACTAGATGTTGAGGTAGCTTAAATGGTAATAGGACTTTTATAGTTTCAAGAGATCAATGGTTCAAAACTTGTTGATTATGACAAAGAAAATAAACTAAAAAAGAACAGTTAATTTGATTATTTGATATGTTTTTTTATTTGGACTACTTTAATATATGTTTTGGACTCTTTTAATATATACATACTAAACCATTTTTAATAAAATTTTGGACGACCTAAATAGTATTTTTATCCATATTATATCAATATACGCACACATACATACATATAGGAGCGGGTTCTAATGAGAACAATCTCTGTAAAAAAAATGATGACTGATATCAGTAGTCCATCATGTTTTCTAATGAGAATTTGGACTACTTTAATATATGTTTTGGACTCTTTTAATATATACATACTAAACCATTTTTAATAAAATTTTGGACGACCTAAATAGTATTTTTATCCATATTATATCAATATACGCACACATACATACATATAGGAGCGGGTTCTAATGAGAACAATCTCTGTAAAAAAAGTGATGACTGATATCAGTAGTCCATCATGGTTTATCAATGATTGATAGTTTTAATTAAAAAAATTAATTTTATAATTATTATAACTTTTAAGTTTGTAATACTTATAAAATTAACATTGTCATTTTTTTTTTAATTTTTTAGCAACCATCAACCATTGATCTACTCGACCAAATCAAATAGTCATCATTATTTACCTTTTAAGGATGGGTGGGGCTATCCCTCAATGTAACGCTCCTCTACACATGCTTTCTCCGTTACATTTTTTTTTGAAAGCAGCTTTCTCCGTTACATACTCACCAACCACTTACATATTCTCATCGTTACTTACATTCCTACATTTATCATTTATTTTATTCACCACTATTTGTTTATCCCACCTTAGCTTGATCCATACTTCCCCCCACTAGTGCCACTCAATACTATTGTTGTTTTGTATAATATTTTACATAATCAAAACAATTTAATTTTGAATAAATTTGTATTTTATAAACTGAAAATAGCTTAACTTGGATATATAGACTTTCTAATAAAGATGACAATGTGAGCTAAACCCGTATAGATTAACCCAAGCATCATAACCAAGCCGAGGCGGATCTAGGAATATCGTTAAGTGGGGGTGTAAGTTTAAAAATTTTCAAAACGTGATAAAAATATTTATGATAGGGTATAGATTAAAATATGAAATGGTTGGATTAAATTACATATCATATATCTCTATTGATATGATATTCATAAGTACTTTTTATTTTAATTAGATTAACTATATGTGTTTCTAGATTAATTTTAATATGATGACATACAATTGAAACGTCTAGAGTGACTAGATAGTTCATAAAAAGAATATTTTCTTTTAAAATAATTTTTATAATTGAATTACAAAACATATTTCATATCAATTAATTAATCAATACACATAACACATTATAAATCTTAAAAATAATTTTTTTTTAAACAATCGTACAATTAATATAAAAAATGAAGAAATTTATAAATGAAAAATATAATTAAAGTGCAATCAACAAGTTTTGAACCATTGATCTCTTGAAACTATAAAAGTCCTATTACCATTTAAGCTACCTCAACATCTAGTAAATGTTTTTGTATACTATTATATTATCTACTTCAATTAAAACATCTAGTATATATGTATACACACACATATAACGTGGTGGGGTGGATTGCTGGCAGTGGGGCAACTGCCCCATAGCCCCTACTCTGAATCCGCCCATGAGAATAACTCTATATATGGGGTTGTACTAGCCACCCTCTATATAATCTAGGCTAGCTTAGTGTTCACGACTATTTAAAAAAAAATTGTAGTTTGAAATTAAATATTTAGCTAATAATAAGTATTATAGATTATGAGTGCCAGGATTAATATTGGAAACTTTAGAGTTATGTTATTAGGAATAATTGTAGTAAATATATTTTGATGAT